AAATTTCTATATGCCTTTTCGTCCCTGACTTTTGAGTTCATGGAGAAGGAAAATGGGAGTTTGGCAATGACAAGAGATTTAAGGGAGTCTGCGAGAACTGTTTTTTCTGTAAGCATAAAGGGAAGATTTCATTAATCTTTTTATCTGCCAAGGCACTGAACTAACTTATGCATAGCCACGAATTTTGCTCAGTGTGTGATGTTATACTACACGACTGCTGATGCTATTTTTTGTAAAATACGTTTTAGCTTATTGAGTTGCTGTACCAAATCATTCACTTCTCTGTTTTCTTCCTTTTTTTAATAAACAACCCCTGCCATATATTATGTAAAGACTCTCCCCATCTCACACATCACAAAGCAGTGGTGTAAATCCAAATGTGAAGAAACAGAGAAAAGAACCAAACTGGATATAAACATCAGCAGGCCTGTGTCACTAGCCATCAGCAGAAAATGTAGGATGAGGTTAAAAAAGCACAATGATTAGAAAATGGCTTGTTTCAGGAGTGCACTTTGGGGCAGAGGTGGGTGATGAGCAGAGGGAGAAGGCCATAGCAGAACCAAGCCTTTTGCTGCACACCAGCCCTATGGCTTCTGGCCCCGGGCAACATCTTTGTTCACCATCTGCTCTATTCAGCCTCCTTAGAAAAGAGAGTGAAGCAATATTGTTGGACACAACACAGGAACCAGGGCCTGCTGTCCACACACATACACAGGGAGGTGTCAGCATGATCCTGTTCTTTATCTTTTGTTTTGCCATTTCCTCTCCCTCTTTGTCCTGATGCTCTTGATCTCTTGGTGGATTTCATCAGCTCCCTTGCCAATGATATTATTGGCATCTCAATTGTTTTCTTCATGTTTCTTTTTCCATGTGCTTTTGGTGACCTCAGCATCATGCCTGGGCTCCCCACACTTCCTCTTCTAATTACTGACACTGCTCTTGGCTTCTACAAGGCTCTCCCAGCTCCCTTCTTCCTGCACTGGGCAACTGAGAAGGTGCTGAGCTCTTCTAACCCCTCCTTTTCCTCTTTCCTGAACAGTCACAGCTCTCAGTCAGGGATACTGCTTTCTCTGCAGATTTCTGCTTATTCTACCTGTGAACAGCCTTTTCTGCTTTACACGTGGGAACTGAGGACATGGAAATTATGTATTTTTGCTGTTCAGATATCACTAGGGACATGAGTTGGCAAGGGATTTACAGGCGAGTCGTTAATGATCTGTTCTAAATCAGGCTGCAAGACTCCACCTTCCTCCTTATCCCTTATCTTGGCCTCTCCATCACTCTCAATGCTGGCAACTGCTGCATTTCTTTCCTATCCCTTCAACTAAGAGATCTTCTGTCTTTCCTTCATCTTTTGGGGTTTCAAGCTCTGCCCTTAGTTGCACAGTCTTTTCTTTCTGAATCATTATTTTACAGAATATGAAGCAATTTCCCAGCAGGAATCTTACTGTGTTCTTCATCATCTCTCATCTCTGTTAGTGCATCTCTGGCTTTGACTTGACTAAAGCGATCCTACCATTATCCTTCTGTAGGGCTAATGATGCAGAGACCTACATCTCTTGCCCATAACGCTGAAGAATCACTGTTGCTCTGATGACTATTGTTCCTTTATCTCATTCTGCTGTATGGATGGGTTTTTATCTTGAAGAAGTAAAGCATTCAGGACAAGGACTATCTTTTTGGTTTCTCCTTGCACAGCACGTAGCACAGTAGGGCTCCAGTCCACAGTGAGAGTCTCAAAGTGCTATTGCTAGTCAAAGCGATAAAATGATAAATACACCAAAACTGGCAGTAGGTGTAACTAGCCTGGTCTAGTTTGTTTCTCCTGCTCTCACACCGGTGGTCAAAACTCACTGACAGTGCTGTTGCCAGTGAGAAGACTTACAAGCCATAGCAACTGGTAGCAAGGACATTAAAATACTGGACACTAGTGCACCCAGACACCGAGTCTGGTATCTCTACACTTACCTGCAAAATAAATTTACACAGATTTAAAAAATCCCAGGTGCCTCTCCAATAGTTCTATTCAACAGGCTGCAGGCAGCTGGGTTCATAGAATCTCAAATGTCTTCCTAAGGTTGTAGTCAGCGAGAAAGCCTACCCTCACTTTGGCCCCAGACAATACTTTGCCATGATAAACCTCCTCTCCTGCAGCGCTCTTCCAGCATAATTGCTAGAAATGATGAGAAACTAGAGAAATTGTTTTACAAAATACCGTAAAGCCATGTTCTTTTGATTGAGTTTGAAGTGGAGCTCTTCTGTGTTTTCCTCAAATATTTTACATTTTCCTGGATTTTACCTCAACCACTTTTCTTAACCAACCCCTTTTTCCCATTAAATTATACATTTGTAAGATTTTCATTGAGATGCCAGATGATGCAGGAAAAAAAAGTTGTAGCCTAAACATCTTCCAGAAGCAGGAAATATGTTGCATGGCTTTTGCAGAGCCAAACACCTCTGTGCCCTGTCCTTCCTCTTTTTCCTGCTCTTGCCCAGTGGCTCAAGGGGAAGACAGCAGTTCTTCATGCTCATCTAGCAACCTTCAACACGAGTGCCAGAGGTGTTTGGTGTTAGGAGCAAGAGGGTGACTGGAATCAGATGTCAGTGACGCTGCCCCATGACACTGTCCAGGGTGCAACAAGTAGTGATGTACAGTAGAAAAAATGTATGGGGAAAAGGAGCAGAAAAAGGCAGGAGGAAGAGGAAAGATGTCTTTTGACATCAGTAAATATTTGAAGCAAATATAAGATTGATTTTGCAATCTATCTGCATATGAATCAACTGCCGGATGCGGCTTGTTTGGTTTTTTCCTGCCAAATCCAACAAATGCTATCAGGGTGGAATTTGGCCATACCTCCAGTATTCCAGTAAAGAAATGATGGTCTAACTGTGGATACAGAAAAAAATAACACCATAGAAATATGAGTTTATAGGAAGAAACATGAGTAACTTTAGGACATGACGAGCAAAAGGGGAAAAATGAAACCAACAAAGAAGTGTATAAATATTTATAGAAAGGAAATGCCATCATTAAAGAAAGGAAATGTCATCAACATAGTGGAGGAATGAAAACTACAGAAAAATAATGGGTCAGTAAATAGAGCTCTTGGGGAAAAAGAAACAAAAAAACTAAATGTTTTCCTTGCCTCTCAATTAATTTAGAAAATATATTAACAATAAACCTGTGGAGGACATGTATGGGTACTGAGTCTGAACCAGAGATTACTGAGATTAATGAGAGAATCCAAAAGAGCCTCACGTGTAGGATACAAATACAAAATGCCAGGCAAGTATGAGTTAATCCACAGTTAATATTGGAGATTAGGGATCAAACAGTTGGACCATAAACTGTACATTCTGAGAGAATTATTTATTAATCATGAGTGAGGAGAGGTTTTTGAAAGGCAAATCGTGTCAGACAGATGTAGATTTTCTTCACAAAATAACTTCCTTTTGGAAAGATGTGGTAAAAAATTGAAGTGTATTTTCAATAAACTTCAGATCACATGGATGTGAGAGCCAGGGGTGACCTTGAAAAGTCTGACCTGAAGGAGAGCCTTGGCTCATGCGGAAGTCAGAGTTCAATGTTATCAGTCCCGATTTTCTCATGGGTAATGCAGAATAAATGAGGAAGCATCAGAATTGTAAGATGGTTGAATTAAAAAATACAAATGTGATAAAATTTTTGGTGGGTCACAGAATTAAATTTCAGAGCAAGTTCCAGACTGTTTCTCAGGAAAAAAAAATCTTTGTAAGTAAATGGATGCTGGGATGAAACACAATTTTCTTTGCAAGAATTGGTACGGCTTAAGTCCTTTCTCTGTCAGAAAACAACTACTTTTGAAGCCACATTATTGCTGATTTTGACATAAGAATAATGTGCAAAACATATTTGGAAGTGATACTGAAACGGTGTGGTTAAGAGACATTTAATGCTGTACATCTTAATTAGTATAGTAACATGAGCAACAATAAAAGGCTCTGAGTTACAAATTAACAGCTATAATACCAATCTTACTTTTGCTGCCATAAATTGGAAGTATTTCTAATGAAATAATTAAAAAAACCCCGTTGATATAAGACATCCACATATGTGTGTATGAGGCCTGGTTTTGTATGATTATGTAATTAGGGAACATAGTATCCCCTCAAGGATGTAAAAAGGAAAACTGTAACCTTAATTATGGCATTTTTTAATTCCTTTTTGCAAACTGAATAATTATCTTCTACTTAGTTTTGTTTTAAGGAAAAGTAATGACAGAATATAATGAGTTGCAGACAAGAAAAAACATATAAAATGGGGCTTGGAGAAAAGCAAGAAGGGACAAGACAAACTGCAACCCTCTCAGTGATATTGTATGTTTAAGCAAGAATTTCTAATTGAGGTCATTTCACTCACCAGAATTAGAACAGCAGCCAAGGGAAAGGTGGAATATGTATCTAAATAATTTAAGGAGGATTATTTTACAGAGAGAGCAATCAGGAGGTGACACAGATATACAGCAGAAATGGAGAGGTCAGACAATGCCAATGTGAGCAAAATCCTGCCATCCACATAGAGCTTTAACTGATGCATGTTTGAGGTTAGAAGAACCCAGACTACTGCAGGGAGCAAGGAATTTGTCAACCATCACATTTTTCTTGCAGGCTGGCTGTGCAGGGCTGTTTGTATTATATTGATTTCTGGGAGTGCTTTTGCCCTTTGGCTCACGTTTTCCACATTTACAGGCCGTAAAAACCAGATAGAGTCATAAGCCATGTAAATGTTATTATATAAATTGTATTGTTTATAAAAGAGAAAAAGAGAATTCAAAGTCACATTTTCCAACCAGTTTTGTGCTAGAGAAATGTCAGTTCTGTCATCAAGCTCCCCTCATCAGGAAGAGAACATGGCAGAAACATTTCAAATGGCAGAAAACAGTAATTATGAAGACTTCACCTTCCACATCTAGTCCAAACAGTCTACCCAGGAGGGTTGGTGAAGTTGTATTTCTCCTTACCTGCGTGAAGTCACCGTCGAGCAATTATTGCAGAATCTTGTAAGGTTTACCTGAAAAAATTAAAAATCAAATGAATTTGGATTAAGTTGTCTCCTGGTTGGTGAAAGAAGGTCTCAGTTTGCGACTTACAGAGTCATGAAGTGATATGAAAAGCTAATATCCACCAAAATTCAGGAAAAGGATTTATGAAATTTCGTAATGAAGCTTACTACTTGCTTACTTTTCAGTTTTCATCTAGACCCCTCCGACCATCCTCGACATGTCATGCATCCTGTTGCCTACATTTCACAGCGCTTAAATTTAGGCTAGGGAAGAGTTCACATGGACTGCCTTCCAACCCAGCAAGAGAGTTTGGAACCATGAACTAGCCGGGAGTGTCCTTCCCTTCATTTCCCTGCTGTGGTCTCTGGACAATGCTGCCTCCTGTTAGCTTCGTATGCACACACACACAACACACACAGGTGCAAAAGCTGAAAAGAAGGATCTCCTCTGTCAAAGAATGGCCCATTGAGCCTGACTGACTTTGCATTTAGACTTCAGCCTTCTTGGCTTCCACCCAGTGCCTACTTCCAAAGAGCTGGGAGCCCAAATCAATATTGTCTATAACTTCTCATCTTGGCAATTGCACACACAACAAACAGGCACTTTGTGTGCTTCTGCAGAAAGAAACAATCCTGCATCACTGAAGAACGTTTCTTCTGCCTTTCATTCTTCAACTTAATTGAATCCTGGCCTTATCCCTTATTGCTGTTATAGAAATAACTGAAATAGAAATTTTGTCTCGAAATCCAAGCAGGAAAAACAAGATAAATGCAAAATTGCAATCCTAGTCCCAATATAACTTCCCTGGTCAAATCTTAATCCAGCTCCCATGAAAGTCAAAGAGTCTTTGTAGGTGGTCAGGAATTAGGCTGGGCAATGAAGATCTTTGCTTATTATCAGTTTGCAAGCTAGCTGCATTTAATAGTGCATTATCTGAATTAAATTATTAAAATTATCAATGACAATGTTTTAGCTGAGTCTAAAAATAAGGGAGTATGAAGTGGTGAGGGAGGTGACTCATTTATACATACCAATCTGGGTGGTTGATAATGTAGGAGCCAGAGCATGCCTGTAGGAACAAAGAAATGGTGACATATAAAAGCTGGACTGCAGGATACTGAAAAAGGTTGAGGGTTATCAGCTGATCATTCAGCTGAGCATCCCATGCAACAATATAGCTATGGAGGGGACATGAGGAAATACCAAGGAGGTGGAGGAACCATTTGTATAAATCCAGTGAAACTATTACAGTAATACTATGCCCATTTCAAAAACTGACTTGGAAATGTGTTGGTTAAAAAAACAGAAGGGATCAAGGGGCAAATTTGGTCTCCTGAGGTGTCCATGGCTACTCCTAGGAGGTCTGTAGAAGAGCACAAAAAGAGCAGTAGGCATATGGAAATTTTTAGAAGTCCATTTACTGAAAAAGGTGAAAATGGCTTTTCTAGTATGACCTCCTATATAAAAGAGCTTTATATGCTTTTATGGTGACAAAGAATCTGCTAGAAACCTTAGGAAGCAGTTAGATGGCTAGGAACTCCCGATGTTAAAAAGGGGGAATCTTAACTCAGAATAGAACTTTACACCTTCAGCTCCAGGTTGTTGGGTCTTGTTATGCCTGTAGGGTGAGGAGCCCTCCAGAATCAGATTTCTGTTCTTGGCCAAGTCCTTTCTGGGCTTGCTGTTACCCAAGGCAGCATCCCTCTTTTTGTAAGTGCAATCTATTCATCTTCTCCCTGCAAGAGTCACTTCACTTTTGGCTGTACTGAAGCATAGTATTTGCAGGCTTCCATTTTAAGAAGTGAATCAGCTCAATGATGTGTCTTCTTCATTATCCTCACTCCCCAGCCTTCAACAATACTTATAGAGTTGCTTTTAGGTCATTCATACTGCCAGGGGTTAAACAGCATAGGTTAAGAAAGCCAACAGTTTCCTACTGAAGATGGGCCTCTACTTGACAGCAGATTTTGGACCCAGTATGTTACCATATTTTTAATCCCATTTAATATGTCCTGTTATTTTGAAGAATTTGTAATAAAAAAATTCAATACCATAACAAATACTTAGAGAATTATGAATACATTACCCCCAACATCTCTACCACAAAACAAATTGATCTGGTACCATGTTGGTTATTGAATAATTTGTTTCCCTTAAGCTTAAACTGATTCCCGTTAAGTGTAGTTTTCTTTTTGCCTTGTTGTTAATGAAATCACACTATTTTGCTCATGCTCACTGTCTATCTCAAGCCATATGCCTATAATTACCAATAACTGTATCAGCTTTTTCTCCAGACAAGTCTTTCTAGCATTCCTATGATTTACCAACTTTAATAGCCCACACACCGCCTCATCCAGCTCTTTAAAGCTCTTGCTGCAGACAGACCTACTGGTTAAAAACAGCCGGCTTATTAGCTCTTGCTCCGCATATTGCCAAGTTACTGTTGGAAGGGAACAGATTTCATCTTCACCCTCTGTGAATTCTTCATGCAGACTTTTCAAAAACCCACTTGGAACAACAGGATATATTGAAACTATTTGACATTTCTACATGAAAACCATGTTTTTACAGATTAGAATCATTGTTAGGATTTCTTTGTACTATGAGACATATCAAAACCTTTTTTTTCCCATCATTCACCCTCTTGCCTTAGGTTTTTTCCTTGTATCCTGTCACTTCATTAAGATTTTTTCTAGTTTTTCACCAGTTTAGAATCATTTATATTCTTTACTATCTCTTTTTCCTCTGAGTTTGTGTGCATTTGTATTCGGCTACATTTGCCTATTTCAAGCCAGCCTGGTTCTTTTTGCCAGTGCAACTTTTTTTCTCTTACTTGAGCAGCTGTATGGCTTTGGGGCATGCAATAAGCAACTGTTTAAAATTCCCGATTACATTTCCCATTTTAAGACCATGAGAACAGCAGGAAAGACTGTGATCAAAGGCCTTCCAAAGTGACCCTCCAGCAATGACCAACTTGCCTGGAGTACAAACAACCAAGCAGCTCAAACACAGCCAGTGTCTCCCAGGACCTCTCTTTCAACCACTCTGGGCCCTACATGTCCCCCAAGAGCAGTCTGAGCTGGCACTGGGGACCTTTACTGCATCTTTCATCCCTTCCTTTACCCGGTTGCTTCTGGAATATACATAGACTTTTAGCAGCCATGCAGCCCACATGACAGGAAACATTCAAGTTTATTAGAGGACGGATAAAGAAGCACGTCTTTTTGTTCACTCTGTCTTTTCATTCGATGCCTCCTCATCTTTGCACTCAGTCATTGCCATTCACCTTTTCTGCATCATTTTCAGTTGCATTCTGTCACCTTCCCTGCTCAATCAACTCTTTTCCAAGCTGACAAAGTCTAGTATGTTTAATCACTTCTTGAATGAAAGTATTTTCACTATATCTGTGATCATGCCTCTTGTCCTTCTCTGAACTTTTCTACCTCTTCTTTACCGATTTTGAGCTGCAGGGAAACAAAACTACTGTGATGTCTTGCATTTTAAACTTTCTCCAGGATGATTTGGCTTTTAAAAGTTTTCAACATCATGAAACTGGTTTTTTAAATGACAAAGTTTTCCTATGTTACTGACTTGGATTTTAGCTTCTTTGAATGCAATAGAGACACTCAAGCCACCATCGTTGCACTCCAGAATGAGACAAATTTCATCTCTGTGCTCAGTGCACCCTTCTTTCTGAGTTAATGCCTAATTCACAGCTCTGTGAGGCTGGATGTAGTCCCCAGGCAGGGAATGCCAGCTATGGGTTGCCTCATAAAAGCTAAAACAAGAAAAGGTTCAGATGAAAGCTGGAAGAATAATCCAAGATGGGACAACCTGGCTGCATAGTAAAAGATTAACAAAGCTTAGTGTTTCTAGCTCATTCAAGAGAAGAAAAAAGGTAACTTGATTCTGACTTACAAACCATTACGAAAGGGATTTCTGCTGGCAGATGGATCTGTAATCTGGGGGTGTAAAGGAGTAACAAGATTCCATGGCTGAAGGCTGAAAGCTGAAAGATTAGAAACAAGACAAAAATGTTAGCAACCAGGTTAATTATCCAAACAGCTTAAAGGGATGTACTGGATTCTGTAATACATGATATTTTCAAATCATAATTAGCTGTGTTTTTAAAAGATGTGCTGTTGCCCAAGCAAAAATTGTGGTCTCTGTGCAGAAATAATCAGAAGAGAGTTTTTAGCCTGTATTAAGCTGCAGGTCAACCGAGCTGATCTTAATTACCCCCTTGGTCTTAAGATCTATGAATCTAGGAAAATGGGGATAATGGCATGTATTTAACTATCTTGTGTTTTGAATGAGGAAAAAATGGAAGAATTGTTCACAGTAACAATTGATTCATACATTTAGGCTATTTTTTTGCTCATAACATGTCTGGGGACAGACCATTAACTCCTAAATCTATTTTTCAAATGTGATGGACAGCTATCTTGCCCAATATTTGACTTAGACCTTGTGAGCTGTGCTGCCTAATTGGTTAGCTAATGAGTGATGTGCCAGTTCCCCTTTGTGATTGATTAGCATGAAGGCAAAGCAGACAGGCATATTTGAACATTTCAAATTCAGTCTGGTGATCATGCATAGGAACGCTATTTTGAAATCCTTTTCCTTTAATCAAGCCCCACCATGTCATGTTGACTGAGGAGTAGGCAGAAAAACTGTGTTAGCATCACTTAAAGCAGATTCATTTATTTTAAATGTTAAGGTCTAGTCAAGTCATAGTTACAACATTATGTTGCTCATCAGTCATCCAGGTCTAGGTCTAAGGATGCATTTTGTTTTGAAAATTAACAAATGTCCTAGCCCCTTGCTCATGCAGTAGATATAGTACAGTGAGCTAGGGGCTAATGTAATTGAAATAGCGAAAACTGAAGATATCAGGTATTTAAAAAAAAGACTGCATTCACTTCATGCTGGTCAATATTCATGGGAGGAAGTATAGAATCCTGCAAAAGAAAACAAGAGCAGGGAAACTCACTTGGGTTTCAGTTAAATACTACAAAACCAAGACTGGAGTAATAAGATATGATAACCACAAAGAGGAACATCTGTTAAAGAAAAAAAAAACTCTTTCAAAGCAGATCCTCTTTTGCTAATGAAACTCCTTTAAATGATTTTAAGACCATGGAAAGACATCCCTGGTGGTGATGAGGCATATCTGAGCATGGCCTACTCCAGAAAGAGGAGGGCTTCTCCAGGTCCGGAGAGCCATCAAGTCATGCCTGTGATGCTGGACCACAAAGGGAAGGCACAGTAAAAGCAAAGAAGTGGTTGTTCTTTAGGAACCTGTAACATACAATGCACTTTTCAAATGAGGCTTTTACTACCAAGTTCTGTCAACCTGTGCTTGTTACCCATCTGCCTCCCCATCGAGCATACACATCCCATCTCCATGCTGCCCACACCTCCACCCGCAGGGCTCATGCTGTAGCCAGGACCCACTTCATCAGCAGTGAGGCCAGGCCGTGGCAGGGGTGGGCATGCTCCCTCCTCTCCAAACTCCAAGGGGCCGGTTAGCAGCCTGGACCATCACCATGAATCAAAAGGATGATCCCCCTCCAAGCACTTGCTGTCTCAGGAACATACAACCGATTGCCAGGAGGTGAAGCCATGATATGTACAGACACAACCTAGCTGGTCGTGGTCAGTTGTGAAAGCACAGGGAGGTACCCAGACTGCCAGCAAGCTTGGACAGCCCACAACGAAGCCTGTGCTTCTGCAGCATCAGATTTTGCACCCCACTCTGGACTGCAAGCAGTCTGGGTATCGCAACAGGTACTTCAAAGCTGTCTTCCAGCAGCAGCGTGGAGATACCCTGCGTAGGAGCCGAACACCTGCAGATGGTTACAAAAGCACAGTCAAGTGCTATTAACAGCTGTTGGGCCTGCAGTGAGCTTGCAAAATGAGCACAGTTTATATTACACGGAGACTTCAGGGAGCAGTGGGTAAGGTTGTGACAGGCAGGAGGGAGTAACTGCCCGTGTCAGGGGTCACTTCATTTTTCACCTGTTAGATGGCTTTCCTATTACATCTCCAATCTAGTGTGGAAATTATGCTTGTTCTGTGCCTCTAGTTCAATACGAAATTGGAGAAAATATGATGTGAACATCAGTTACCAAACCACTTGTTTCTGCCAGCCCTTGAGGGGAGGGGTACCCCCTGATGCTTGGTAAAAATGTGGTGGTCTGGACCAAACTAATCTCTGCTTTGTCAGTATCAAGAGCTGTAGGAACATCTGTGCTTCTGGAGGCAAACTGTGGTACATAAACAAGAAATAATGCAATCATTTCCTTTTTCCCCACCCATGAAAGTAAACTTCTGAGTCATAAAACCTTTGAGATAACTGAGAAATACACATGTAGGGCAATGTTCAGTCAGTCAAGCACACCTCCTGCTGTCCTGCTTTCTCGGCTCTCCAGTCACAGTGCACACAGGCCACACATCTCAGATGCTCCCTGGTGTTCAGGAGATGCAACATTCGGGTGTCTGACCCATTGCTGCGGGAGCTTGTTTCTGCCCTTGCAGAAGGAGGCTGCTTTTACACCTCCTGAAAGCCACTGATGCCAGCAAAGTCCCTCCTGTCATCTCTAGTGACAGCGTGAGGGTAGACACAGACTCTGACAAAAGGTCTGGCCTTCAGTTCTTCCCCAGCAAGGAGAGCACTTACTGGCATGTTTGCAGACTGTTTACAGCCCATGTGAGCTTGCAGCACTGGCAAGTAAATGCTCAGGTTGTCAGGTCATAGTTACCCTACTGCGGTCTAAGCAGCCAGGACAAAACCCACTGCCTCCACAATGTACTTCCAGACAGCAGAGCTGCTCTTCTGTTTCCTTCTGGGTTTGGTGTTTGAATTAAGAGGAAGCTGGGTTAACCCCAGCTCTGGATGCTGAGCCACTAAGAAGCTATTTCATTGCCAAGAGTAACGATCAGGGCATATTCTGCGTTCACCAGTTGTGGAACAGTGCTAGATTTCTTAAAACTGACCCAATCCTAGTCATGACTGGGACAATCCAATGCAATGCTGCCTCTACGGAAACAGTCTCACTTTTCCCCATGTGTGGGCTAACCTCACAGCAGGCTGTAGATGGGGAGAGAGGACTGGGTGCCTTCATCCTAAGAATTAGTCAGCAGAAATTCAATTAGCAAGCAGAAATTCAGATTCATATCTAGTCCAGGCCCATTGCAGCAACTCCTTCCTACCAGTTCTCCCCTTGCGTTCCTGAGGTTAACACGGACAGTCTAACAGGTCAGAAATGGGCACTGGAAAAAAGCTCTTCCTCCCTCTCTCCCTTCCTCCCTTCCTTCTTCCCTCCCTCCATTTCTCCCTTCCTCCCTCCCTTCCTTCCTATCACCCTTCCTCCCTCCCTTCCCCCATGCTGACTCAGATCTTCAAGGCCATCCCTGAGCCTTTTCTATACCACAAGGCTAGGGAGAGCTGGTGGTGTGAAAATGCATGGAAGTTCATGGCTTCATTTTAGGGATTTTAAAGGGTTGTTGCACATTGTTGGGCCAACAGCGATGCTCAGTTATAGCTTACTTGGGATCTGTTTATCTACGAAAACAACCATGCTATTGCCACCAGCTGCTGTGTGAAGGCCGAGGAAGTGGGGGATAAGAATGCAAGACCTGTTTGTTCTTCGATTAGTGTGGTTTGTACATCAAGGTTTTATTAGCTTTTACTGCCCTACTGGCTGCTGCCTGCAACTGCTTTACACTTGCCTCTTTTCTAACAGGCCCTCTGCTTTCTCTGCTTTCCTTCCTTCTGGCTTTGTGCAAACCTTTTTATTGCCAACTCCAGTGAGATTATAAAATTTGGCATCTGTTACCAGACATTTCAGGTTTATTAGATCTGTTAAAAAAGTCTTCAGCTCCGTTATGTGCACAGAGCTGGGATACAACAGGGAAGCAGAAGGGATGGTCCTAGCTCCCTGTGCATGCACCATTTACACTGGGTCAGTACTGGGAGGGCAACTGCCATGGGGTGAGCCAGAGGAGGGGCAGGGAGATTATTTACAGCCTGGCTGTACACGCACATCTATCCACCTACCTGTCCATGTGTACTTGCCACGTCCATGGATACACATTCCAGATATACATATTTACCTCAGAGACTTTTATGTCTAACTCAATGCCCGTGCCTCCTTTTACGTGCTATTATTCAATGTATTACTCTTATCTTCGTTATTGTCCCAAAGCCTTTGAAAGGCCAAGGTCAGGACTACGTCATGTTTGTGGTATTTTCTTTTCCCTTTCTTCTAACCACAAGCAGCTTTTAGTCCACTGTTTGTGAGCACTGGGTACTCCAGGAGGTTTCTTGCCTTCTCCTGCTACTCTCACATTGAGCTTTTTTCCTATCTGCCTGCATTTAGATTTCTGCCTTCTGCTGAGCTGTGGAGAGCTCTCAGCTATCCTCCACAGGGGTCTGCCTTACCTCAATGGGTGTGCCGGACCTCACCACCAAAATGAGTTAAATACTAAAATAAATACCTCCAGATTCTGCCTGTCGGAGATCTTGGTTCTTTCTTTCCATAGTCCCATACAAAAAGGTGTGCATAAAGCAGGTTCATAATGTGGGAAATAAAAATGTTTTCTTCTCCCTTTCCCCTTCAACAATTAAAACCTGGAAGAACTGGCGTGTTTCACTCCAGAGTTCCCAGAAATTTACTACTGAACTGAAAAGCTCCATAAAACTTTTCACACTAGGAAAAGAGTGTGCTCAAAAATGTCCTGAGAATGTGGAAATGAGAGATAATCACAGAAAGTGCTTTAAACTTCATACAGAGTGGTCAATGTTGGCAATTTGCATAATAACTCTGGCAAATGAGCTATTATGCTCCATGGCAGCAGCAATAATTAAATGCCAGAGCTGGTCATTACAAGAGTTAACCACTGATTAATTTGCCTGTTTATATTAAAAAACAGGGTTGGCTTCACTAA